CAGTTGAAACAGACAAATTTGGTGCATCCCAGGAAGATTTTATGCATCCAGCAGGCTCCTCTGCTGAGACGTTCTTTGGGGGTTCTTGTTCTTAGTTTGCTTCTTCCTGGCATTGCTTTCATAAGAAATCACATTTAAAGCTATCTGATTCTGAGAGTTTAAGCTTGCCTAAATCAGGATGAAGAGTAGAAAACAAAATCACCATTCCTGAAGAGAGTGAGAAAGACTGCGTGTTGATGAGGGACCAGGGGGAGATGGTGATGGATGCCAGAACACGAGTGAATGCAGACGAGAACTAAGAACTACTTTTCTCTTAGAGAACATCTGTGATGAGCCATTTATTTAAAATAAAACATTTGAGAGGGGTCACTTTAGCATATGTGGAAGAACTAAGAATGACTCAGTAAGTCTTTAATTTCAGTTTGTACAGCATATCAGCCTATAAAGAGTGCTTTTCCCCACGTGAGATGAGAAATAGCTATCATACGTTTGTATTGCAGTTATTACTACCAGACTTACTAGAAAAAAATCTGTGGGCAATCTTAAAGTGATGGGTGGTCTTATAACAAATGTACACCTCCAGGGTCTGAAGTTATGCTGTTCTAAGTGAAATAATCCTAAGCATACCTGCTTTTTCAATTGTAAGAGGCTGAAGAAAACACAAGTATTTCTGTATTTTTCAGACTGTGGATAGAGAGGCTGCATGAATGTTACTGCCAGGTACCTTTGCTCACCCACAGCGTGTTCTAGGCTCAGCATTTCCTAATGGGGAAAGCATTAGTTATAACCTAACTTGTAACTGAGAAGGCATCCTCTTTAACATAAAGGGAGAAACTATTTTGCTTAAAGTAAGGGTAGCTACTTAGCACAACACAAGTTTGCCTGATGGATGAATGGGAACAATGGATATTGCAGTCCTAAACTTTAGTGAGGCCTTTGATGCTGTCCTCCTTAAGATCCTCCTAAAGAAGGATCCATTGGAAGTATGGCCTGGATGAGCAGAGAGTGAGGTGGATCAGAAACTGACTGAATCGTCAGACCCAGAGGACTGCGGTCAGTGGTGCAGCATTTATTTTGTAGCTAGTGATGAGTGAAGTGTCAATAATGGATGACATCTTCCTTAGGATCCATGTGAAAGACGGTTAACAGATCGGTATGTTGTGAGTAACTATTAGCTGTATTTTACCAACAAAAGCAAAATCTCTGGAACCTTTTTATCTAAATGGTTTATGGGTAGCCTGGATCTGCTACAGTTTGTCCTGGAACCACTGAGCTAGACAGAGACCTTCATAAATTATTAGTTCTTATTTTTGAGAGACCCTGTGTCTACAGCTCAGGGAATGAGCAGAAGAAAGCTGGAAATTCAACAATGCAATTTAATTCTGGTCTAATTATTTTATTTGAGAATTTTAGAATATTAATGAGATTGACGATAACAAGAACACAAACAAGACTGTCAAAGCAGCCCAACTTCCTTTCAGGGTAACAAGGGTAACAGCTGCGTGGGTGGTCAAGATGCTGAACGTGTCACTTCCTGACAAAAGCAAGATAAGGAAATAACCTAGGATAGAAAATTTGGAAAGTAAGTACTTGCAAGCAGTTCAGATGATTCCTTCTCCTATTAAAAAAAAATTTGAATTACAGAAGAATAGGTTCTAGGCAGTATTTTAGTCCCATTACTTGGGTGTCAACAAAGAGAGGCTCACTGAATTTTCTGACAACAGAACACAGACAACACTGGGGAGTTCAGAACTGCGATTCAGAACGACTGATACCTTTGAGAAGTAGTGAGAAAAAAGCAAGGTGAAATTCAGTGTGTTAAAATATAAGCTGCTCACCTAGGCTGCAGGCATCTATGGGAGCAAGATAGCAGTTAGTCAGAAATGAAACTAGGAATGTGGTGTTATTAGAACAAAAGCAGTCACCACCCCAGCACACACAGCCATGAGCAGCTTACACGCTCTCTACTCCTCCAGGTTAGCATCGTTAAGGGCTTTGCTAAAACTGAGTTTTGTGCTTCGAGATGATGGACAAAGAAGAAAGCACAGAAAGAATCAGATACCTCACAAATACATAGTGCAAAAAAAAACCAAAACCTCAGTGAATCGGTTTGGTTTGGCAGAGAGAAGAAATTCTTTGTTTTGGCGTCGGGGTTTTTTTGTGTGGAGGGGAAGGAGGGAGGGAAGAGAGCATCAGATTTCCTGAGGATTCTGCAAAAATATTTACTGTTGGAGACATTTGAGAACAGTTTAGTCAAGTATCCATATCAGTAGTGCCTTGGAATGAAAAGCAGACTAGAAAATGCCCAAGTAATTACCTGATGCATCCATATGTATATACACATAAACCTGTACCTCCACTGAGTAGGTGGAGCTACAAAACATCTATATTCCAGTATTTAACTGCACTTTGAAATATTTCTTCTAGAACAGATATTTCTGTATCCTGCAAACTGAACAACTGCTACTGGCTTCTAATAAGACCACCCATCTTGTGAGATTCGTAGTGAAAGTTTCCTATCCATATTTTTCTCTCTTTCTGTAAGAGATGATATGATGCATTTTAAGTCATATTCTGCAGTGTAGTTGCACTCACTTGTCCTAACACACAATAATACAGAAGCCAACCCCAGCTTGCAGTGGCTGGAATGGGAGGGGGAAAGACTGAAAGTCGATAGCTGGTCTCACAGGACATTCAAGACAGCTCTGTGTTTATTTTGTTAGTGGTATTTCTTCCCTTGAGAACTTCTTGACGCAAAGTATGTTTTATATAATTACAGCTCAATTTTCAATTTCTTCACTAATAGTATCAATGCCACATGTACAAAGTGCCCTCAGAATAAAAAAATTAGGATCAGAGGGATAAATGCAGTTCTCTGCAGAAATATCCAAAGAAGAACAACACTAAGCATAGACCCGCACCGTTTTCTGTTCAAGACACTACTTTTAAGTGACATGTTAAAACCAATTTGTTACATAGATTAGTTTATTCCATACAACATTGCTTTTCAGCTTTGAAAATCAAACCTGTGTAGTCTAGAAGGCTCGGCATGCTATTTTGTACTCCCATTGTAGCACTAGTCACGTTCTCTTCCTAGAATGATACCCCTCGAATTTTCTGAGCACAGTCCTGGTACTGCTCCCTGCTTTAAAAAAATATAGCAATGGAGCCAGGCTCAGAAGAACTCAGCAGCGCGTTGTCAAAAATGCAAGTACACAACATGTAAAAAAAGATCAGCATTCAAGTCTACAAGTCAGGTTACAGCAACAGCTTCAGTTGAGAGCATCAGAATAAAACTCCTGGCCTTCCATATACTTGATCAGCTCCACACAGCCTGGCAACTGAAGGTAAGCAAGTAGAGCAACTTTTACACACTCCAAGGCAATGCTCCAGCCCAGATCCACTACTGGAACTTCCAATTTTTAACTCCACACCTCCCCTGACTCACTTTACAAATAGCTGCTCAAGCATTCACAGTAGCCAAAGATAATTTTCTCCTGGTTGCTTTTTCGTAAGGAAACAGTAACATCACTCATCATTTTCTTTAATCCTGCTCTGTTTGTGGAACTGGATAGAAGGGGGTGTTTCATAAATATTTCATAAATAGGTCTGCCTTTCTTTCTCTTGAAGAACCAGAAGCTGCTCAGTTCTTCAAATTAAAGTGAATAAGTAGTTTTGTTCTTTTTTAGAGGGACTTAAGCAAGTCAAGTTGCACTTTAAAACACGACAGTTGAGTGGTAGTTTACATTACCAAATTATGTCTAAATTACCATCACTCACGGTGTTTAACTTTAAAACTTCAGCAGTATGATTCTCCTTCTTGCACATCAGGTCTTACAAAACAACAAGAATTGGTTTGTCTACTATTACGCATGCAATTTGGTATCATGCAGCCACAGGGGGTATTTTAGGTACAGAAAAATGATGTGTTTAATTCAGCATTTCACCCAGCAAATTTCAGCATGATGCATGTTAAAATAAAAATGTAAAGTTCCATTCAAGTTCCACAACAGCTTGTGTCTTTAGCATTATTTGTGGCAGGGTGTATCAGCCTAGACAAAGCAATGTGCTTTTGCTACTCAGTTGCTTGGGCAACTGAGTTTAATTTATGGAACATGAATAATTCAAAAGTTGCCACTGAAGTGATGGCTTTGGAGACCATAATCTTTCTGTGGTGGCAAACCAAACTGAAATGATTTGACCAGAACAGATAAGAAATTTCACACATTAGAGACACCGAATCCATTGAGAGAGGAAAATAAAGGACTCACACACACCTTCAAAGATTTCCTTCTGATGCAAGTAAAGCTTAGGTGTGCAGATGGGATCTACCAGTCTTAAATCCTTGATGGAAACTAGTCTGTGAAGACAAAGATCAGTTCAGTTGATAGTATGCACTAGCCTTTACCCATTAAATCAGAGCTCCCTTCTTTCTAATTCTGGCTTAACAGTTCTAATTCACTTTAACAATTAAATGCAGCATATTCTTAAGCATCTGAATGAACTGCAATTTCTGTTTGTATGCAGTGTCATACAGGTCAGTCAAAACATGGAACTGAAATGCAGACTATTTAAATACTGCATTGGTCATCCTCCTGCTAAACAAAATCAAAAGTAAAACCATTGAAAAAAATCATAAGCTGAAGCAGTATACATACAAAATACAAAAGCAGATCTCCACTCACTGACTTAAATCACAGTCAGGTCTATCTTGTATATCCACAGTTTCCCTTGCTGTGCAACCTCACTGAGGAAAACCACTGGTTTTGTGTATATTTACTTCAAAGCAGGCACCTGTTTCTTGTGTTTCAAGACCAATTTAAGCCTATTAGAAACATTTTTCAGGTCAATTGAACACTCCTGAAAAAGTCTAGTGCAGCATACCTAGGTACAACTAGGTATAACCTAGGTATAACTTTAAAAGAAAGTTGAAGATTTAAGTTAAGTTAAGCTCTTCACAAATGCTCACAGTTCAACCACAGACACAGCAACACTTTTGCTTAGCATGCTACAGCGGAAACTTTATTTAGTTCATTTTGAAAATATTTGCAACCAAAATTTATTTTTGCAAATTCACAGAAATAAGCTTTAACATATAGGCTGTATACAACTCAAATACAAGTAATACTTTTAGCAATAACTTACTAATACAAACTAATGATAAGCTACAAACTCACAAAGAATTGTAAACATTTTGCACAACTGTCAGTCCTTTCTTTTAGGCAAAGTGCTCTTTTGATGACAAATAAATTAACAAATACATAACTAGAGTGATCTACTTCCAGACAATACAAAAAGATGTTTAATAAGGCTTGTAAACAACGTAATATGTAATTATGCAGAATCCATAAAAGTGTCTTGCAGGCTAAATGTATACTTACATACCTGGGCAGCAAAAACGTTCTTGAAAATGTTTCAGATGTTAAATAAAAAGTTAACATTAATATCTTCCCAATGATAACTTTCATACACAGTAAGTGACTTAAGCTTACATCCTTAGTAGCTTATATCCCTGACAGAAAGAAATTAGGTATGACTTATTGGCAGTTGTGTCATTGAGTGGGGTAGCAAAGGCTGGAGTCCGAGAGCTGTAGGTGAATGAGCTACAAAAACAGAAAGATTCACTCGTCAACTTCATTGGAAGTAGAAAAATATAAACTAGTAAAATCCAACTGGGTAAATAAATGTTCACCAGTCCCAACCACCTAACTAAGCACTGCTTCTCTAAACAAGTCTGATGCCAGGTACTAGGTGGCATCACAGGTGCTTCCACCAGCCCCATACTTCAGGCCCAGAGCTCATTTGCCTCCAACCACAGCCCACCTCTCACACCGCCCTGGAGAAGAGCGAGCTCAGGCCACACGTGCAGCTAAGAATCCAGCCCTCCCAAATCTTTCAGATACTCTAAATCATGAGTTGGAGCCCAATTTGTTGTCACATCAGGTCAAATAACACACAATAACATTTTTTTAAAAACAAAGCTGCCCCCATTACGTGTTAATATGAAGGAAGCTTAAGTTTTCAGTACACCTACAGTTAGTGGGGTAAGGTCAGGGAGTGGTTGGTCCACAGTTTTCACTAAAATTAGATATTGTAGAAAATACAGCATGAATGCTAGAAAAACAATTGTTTGAATTCTTACTACTAGCACTCATGGTTTGGAGGGAGCACAGAAAGTAGTCTTCACACCCAGATCTGCAGCTGTGCTACTACAGTGAGTGCTCCTGATAGAAGTGCCTTCTTAACAAGGCACAGAGAGCAAATACTATATTAAGATATTCTATAAAGCATAAAACAAGAAATCTGGCAAGCTTCTTTAATAGGAGCCTGGTAAACTGTTCTTGCTGCTGTCAAGAATGATTTTAGTTGGATACGCAGAGTTGTACCTACCATCCATATAACTATGCAGGGCAGTTAACATAGTCCCATCTTGGGGTACATATGCTGAATATGCCATTTCTTCTAACATGGGTGGAGACAGCCTGGAGGGCTGAACTGCTGTGACTGGAGCAGTAGATGAATGGTTAGGACTAACATGTTTCTTATGACGCGCTCTGCAATTCTGAAACCACACCTGAAAAAAAGGAAAAAGATTTACATCATGTAGATCAATTGCATTCTGCTTTGACGTTAACTTGATATAAACCTCAGAGCTCAGTTAATTGAGCCTCAAACGTAGCACTGACAGTCCAAAAGAAGAAATGTCTACTTTGAAGATGCACGGTGCCTAAAGCACACATATGAGCAAGTCAGGAAAGCTTCTGTAGCAACTAAGAGCCCCAGGCACTGTAAGGACTGCATGGCTGCTGGGGCAGGCGCCTGGCTGGGCACCCACAGCTGCTGTGTGCAGGTGCATGGGAGGGATGCAGTCATCTCTTGCGCCTCAACACTGCTGGCAGCAAAACAGATTTTTCATGGGATACCTATTTTTCTTTTCCCTGTGAATTGTGTGAGCTTCAGCTTTCTAAAAGCTTGATCACAGGTTCCATCTACCTAATTCCTATATATCAGTCAGATCTCCTGGGCTACGAGGAGATAATTAGAAAAAAGCTTGCTGTTCCCTTATATAAATCTATAAATTGGTATAAAAAATACATTTATGTAGAAAAAGAGCATGAATGTGGTGGCTGCCAAGAGGAATCTTCAAGCAAAGAACGAACCATAAGAACCTAAGTTTGTGTTTCTCAGTTATAAATGGCTTGGGCATATATTTTACCTCTGCTCTCTAAAACAGATCACTGGGTAATTGGTCCTAATGTCTGTGTTGTATATCACAAGTCATCTTCAGAAAGCACAGCTCTAAGAATGTGCTGCTGAATTCATAAATTTATGTTTGTGAAAAGCTTAGTGCCAATTACATGCTCTCCAGGCATGCTGTTCCTTGACAATCACTAATCCTCCATACAAAGTACAAGAACACTGCAAATTGTTCATAGTGACATTTCAGTTCTACACCTACTCCTAGCTAAGAACAGTTCTAAGAAGCCACCACATTAGATCTTTCTCCACCTCACAGTAACTACGTAATTATTGTTAAACTGCCACTAAGCTTTTCCAGCAGATGAGTGGCAGACTTTGTAACTTGGAGCAATCACCTGTATAACACGCCTGCTCAGGCCTGTTCTTTCTGCCAGTTTCTGAAGCGTTTGTGCATCTGGATTGTTGTCCTGAGCAAACTGTGCTTGCATAACCTGAAAAGATAAGAGTTGGATTTTTTTTTGTGCAGTCCCAAGGATGGCATTAGAGACTTCTCTCAGACTATGATCCTTTCCTTTCTCTGTTTTTAGGGAACTGTTGTAATCTCTTGTCCCCAGACAGTCCCCAGTAAAAGGGAGAAAAATATATTTTAAATAAGCCACAAAATTCACACCCAAAATAGAAGCCCGTTATACTACTTAACTGAACTGAGACTTTTATGAGAAATGAATTATGCTTGGAAACAGTCAGAAATGGACAAAGCATTCACTTGTGATTCAGACTGTAAGAAAACACTGCAAAGCAATTCAGGCATACTTGATAAAGAAAATGGTTATAGCAGCAGACCACAGCAAACAGCATCAGGAAGGAATGAGCTTAGGTTGGGTTCTTTGAGCTGGTCAATTGCTACCTGCCTCTTGCACTATATGGAGCAACTTGATGCCCTTTCCAGCTACATGGAGAATGTAGGCCACTTGGAAGCTCCTTGCACCGCATTTACTCTCCAGCGATGTGAGAGGCACTCTGGCTGCACCCTGACAGACCTGCACAATGCAGCTATTTGGTTGGACTCATCTTTCGTTACAAATCATCACATTATCACCTGAATTACAGTTCTTGAGAAGGTAAGTGTTGGTCCTGAACAGTTCTGGAACATGCGAGAATTTACCTTAATTAAGAAGTAAGACTTCACAGATTTCTGCAGGACTCCTTCAGCCATTTAGTAAACTGCAGTTTCTCATTTCTGGATTTTGTTCTTTGATGGTCTGCAAATTTTGCTTTGCTTCATCTCTGAGGAACTCAGACAAGTACTCTTCAAATTCAGAAATGTTTAAACTATTTGCTTTCCTACTGAGTTTCATAAAAGAACATCAAAAACACAGGCATCCTTCCACATCCTTAGGCACATTATTGGAAGTCTTATGTCAAGAACAGGTGCCGAGACGAATGCACTGAGCAGACAGGAAGCGTCTGAACAGATCTCATATCTGCTGAAGTGGGTTACAATCCAGTAAAACGGGAAAAGCAAACATGGAAGTTTAATTGATATCAAAACAGAAGCAGCCCTGAATCCAGTTCCTACTCTGAGAGCTGGACCTGTCATTCATTCAGCTGGTGTTGGAAAAGAAAGTCTCCTTCCTGCAGAAATTCACACCTGATATCCAGAGCTTTTGCACCTTACACCCCTTCCAGGTTGTGCTCTTGTTTTAGATTAAAAGCACCTTGACTTCAGTTGTGGATCAAACAGCAAATCAAGCATCATACAGCCATGTGCCATGTTATGCACTGATTATCACACTCAGTTTAACTAAACTGGGCCGCTTTTACCACAGACAAGGACATAGTGGCAAAGCAGAACAGTAGAAAATGAACACTGCAGTAACAGTATGCATCCAGAAACTCACCAAAGGAATACTATAAACTGAGCATGAAAGACACATAGCTAGAACTGGGGAGAAAGCTGCCGCTTCCTTTCCACTACAGGTTGACAATTCTGAATCTGGTCACTGCCTCCTCACAGTGAGCTGGCACTGATCATGCTGTTTTTCCCTATCAGGCTCATTTGGTGAAGTGGTGATCTGGAAGCAGAAATTACTCGTATTTGAGGCAATCCAGAGCCAACTCTTGTCAAGACAGCAACAAGACAAGAAGCTCTGAGGGCAAAGCAGATGCAGGCAGTTCCCACCCCCGCTGGGCAGGCATGACCCTGCCAGGAGTTTTAATTTCATACTTCCAGAATTCCAAAGCTCCCACTTCCCTTTTGTCCTGACACTGGAAAGGAGTATAACTAGTGGGTGAGCTCATATAACAGGATATTGAAAAAACATGTTTTGATAATGCATGATCAAGAACAAATTGGACAGTAAAAAAACTGCTGCCAAGAACATCAAATGCACTTCTCTATTTCACCCCACCCAGCTCCGTGAAAAAGCTGTCTGCTCCCCCCAGTCTCAAACACGCAGCATTACATACTGAAGCCAGGCTCTTGAAACATGACACCAAATCTACAGAATTCAGTATGTTTAAACAGGCAGCAGCGAAGCTCAAAGATACTTTGAGATTGAGCATGCTTGTAAAGCACTTTGGAAGGGATGAGAGAAAGGGAAGAAAAGAGGGAATGAGAGCAGACATGAGTTCCTACTAAGAGCCTGTCTTCCCAGCGCACATCAATACAGCCAAGACATGAAAAGCAAGTATGTAGGAAAAATGATGATAAGACACAAACATGCGATTATTCCCCTTCCTCTCTATAAAACAAAGAGAAACAACACATTAATTGACAGGAGTCGAGCTGTATTCACGTGAATATTAGCAGGAATCCACGACTTACCTGTTGTTCTGAGAACACAAACTTTTGCAGTCCTTTACTGAGCATTGCAATAAAATTGAAGCTTCCTGCCTGTTAATGTCTCGAAGTCCATCCAGTACCCATCTCTAGTGCAACTCTTCATATTACGTAACTCTAAAAATATTCTTTATTATGTGCAGTGATGTAAATGTCTGCTTAAATAGATTTCATCGAGCAATCAAAATAGATCAACCTTTTTGTTTCCACTCTGCAGAATTACTGGCTGCCCCCAGGGAAATAAAAAGCTCGAAGGGTAACTATTTCATATGAAACCACTGAAGCTAACAAACTATTCCAGAAACATGCCGTGTCTTGATAGTTTTTGAAAAAGTATAAAGCATACAAGCTTATTCTTCCCCCACATATGCATCTGATTTCCTATCAGTTCAGAAGGTACATCCTGCATAAACCTGAAGTACTCAAGTTTTTAGCATCGCCTCTACCTGGAGTTGATCTGCTGTGAAGCTGGTCCGAGCTCTTTTTGCTGGTTTTGGATGATTAACATCTTGTTCTGTTAGCAGTGCTCCTTCCACACTAACCCCATTACCTGAAGCATTAAAAAGAAGACACTGTCTGCTAAGCATTCAAAATGATGTTATTCATAAATCAAACGGTTGTCTAACAACTCGCAGCAGCTGGCCACCTCAATTTCACATGCAGAAAAGCCACATTTTGTTCAAAGTTAAATTGCCCGGACACTACCACCCATCCACCCCAACTGACTCCCTTGCAAATTGATGGAGGAAAGAGGTGCAGCATGACATTTTATCAACTAGATAAGCTTTGCTTTCCTTAGGATAGGAAACAAGTTATACAAACTCAAAAAAAAAAATATATATATATATATATAAACATCAGGTAATTTGTGCCTTATTTTAATTCAAGAACCTGTGCTTCCAGCCTTAGTAAAGCTGGATAATTAGCTCTTTTAAGACTGAAGATGAAGTAAAACTCAACAATTTAATTAAAACTAACCACAAACAGTTTTTAAAGGCAGCGTTACCGTTTTCAACTTCTCTTTTCAGATTGTCCAGCATGCAGTCATAATGTACTCTACACAGGACTTTTTCTTCCACCAAAGCAAACTCCTCTCCGGTAGAAAGCTGTCTTTTGCAGGAGAAGCAGGCAAAACACGCCAAGTGGTACACATTGCCCTTAGCCCTTCGGACCCAGTCTGTAGAATGAATGTGCCTCCCGCAGCGGGAGCAGCGGGTGCCGTACCGCCTGCAAACAACGAAGGCCAACAGAAGGCTGGAGTGAGATGCTAACCAACCAGGCACAATGGTTGCTCCAGCAAGGTTAGTAGAAAACGGATGTGGAAGCACAGCTGAGATCCACAGCAAGAAGACTGACCACACAGAGCTGGAGGACCACGTAACCGTGCTTCTACAGCAATAAAAGCAGCAAGGTTGCATCTGACAACTCAAGGCAAGATCACTATAAAAGTTAATAATTTACTTAAGGGAAAGAGCAACATTAAAACATTTAAACTGCTACGTGAACTCACAAATCTCGCCTTTCCTTTTACGAAAGTCATCTCTGTAAAAGTTGTGGGTGGGAGATAGGAACAGCTGGCTTTATGCTTGAAATTCCCCCAGTTACTCAAATGTGTTTCACTATAGGGGTAGTCCAGGTTATTTAGCTTCATCAGCCTTCACTGTTCATTGTCCCCTTCCGCTGAAGGGGAGAAAGCCTGCACCTACACAGTTTTTTTCCTTAGTTACCACCCCATTTATGATTTTATCATCTCCTGTAGAAGTTCAAATATAGGCAAGTATTTATACTGTTACTGTATAATGTTGTTCTTTCAAGAGGAAACTGACAGCCAGGGTATGCTGGATTACGTAAATGAACATAACTTTGTTTTTCCTCCCCCAAAGTTCACCATCCTCAGCCTGTTCCATCCCTCCCTTTTTCAGTGGAAAAACGAATAGCTGACAATAATCCACTCACTATACAGACGTGAATCCCATAAATATTTTGCCCAGGGAAAGTACCAGCGGTCACAGCAAATTTTCTTCCTCCTTTCTGGACTGAAGATTTTCTATCTTGAGCACTGAGGCCAACGAGTCTTTCTAATTCTGCCACTCAGAATTAATAATATTCTCCCTTATACAATTAGATCCTAATATTAAGAATGCTTCTTGTTCTAAATCAAATTGATCCTAGAAAGGTGTAGCTGCTGAAATCCTTTTTAAAGGTTAAAAGATTGACTTGGAGTTAATAACAGCATGTGGTATCCTAAGTCTGGTACCAAAGTGCTAGTCTGAACAGAAAATCATCTCAGCTTGGCCTTGTCTTCTTAATCAGCATTACACTAAGAACAATTCTTTGCACATAAGCTATATTCACTGTTATTTTGATAGGCTCTTTGACCAATACCTACCCCTGCTTTGTGTCCATAGAGGTGAGTGATTCTAGAAATTCAGTAGCTAGGCACAAATTAAGTAAAAGGTTTGTTATGTAGTTGCATTAGACAGGTGCAGGGCTTCCAAGTCCCTCGGCCATAGATATCCATTTCATTGCTTATTAAGTGATAAACGACATACATGGAAATAAGCGAGTAGTGAGAACCTAAGCAGCCATTTCATTTACAGACTAAGCAAAACAAGCAAGCTGAGATTTTGTTAAATGAAGTGCTACTGCTGCACGGCGTACCTGAAATAATCAAGTTTGCAGAAGATATCTTTATCTTTGATGTAGCAGCTGGTGTGCCTTCCGAGAGACGTTCTGCAGACACTGCACGAGAGACAGCGAACGTGCCAGCAGAGGTCGTTCACCTGCAAGAACACCGGCAGGAAAGTACTCCTCTGAGTTTGTACTACAGAACTCATATCTTGTACTTACAAAAATTATTATTTCTTTTCATACAGCCAGAAAAAGGCAGAAATGATGTGTACCATGATTCACAGAAAATGAATCCTCAAGGCAAAACTGCCTATAGAACTACATGTATTCGGGGTTAATGAATGTGATAAAAGTCTTCAAAATAAGCTTTCATGGCTTTGTAATTCAAAGCACAGGAAGAGAAAGCAGGAGATCCAAGTTCTATGTGGATATTTGGTGCCTGGCTCTGTTCTCACATTATTGGGGTAACAGAGCAATCTGGCATCACCTTACTGCTAACTTGCATTCTTATTCCCCAACCTGCAAAAACTCCTGTCTAACAATGAACAAGAGCTGTGAAGTGATTTGAAATTTTACAGTGCAAACACTGAAGAAAAAACAAAGCAGTCAAGTAGAAACACAACATGAGCTGCATCTTACCAGATGGCTGGGAAGCACAGTTGGTGAATGAAGTGGGAGCTCCAAAACATCAGTGGTTGTTTTACAGCAAATTCAAAAATTGTTTAAAATATAATATCCATAGTGAAATTACACCATGGAAAGTAGAAGCAGATCAGGGGTTTTGAAAAGCCACGGGTAAATTTTGGGCAAATAAGTTATCCAAAATTTTCATTTCTTAATTCTTATAATTCTTTGTTGTGCAGACATTCCGCACCACCCATCAGACAAATCATTTCATTTGAAAACCCAATATTCCCACTGACCAAAAAATAAATGACGACCCTGTGGATAATTCTGTATCGTACAGGAGAACTTACGTAAACCAAACAATAAATAAGTTTGGATATGTACGATTTCCTTTAGAAACGTCCATGCCAATTTTTCATCTCATAGGGAGCAGCAGGTTTGTCAGCCCTTATATGAGGAATGGCAAAGCAGTGATCTATGTGACCCAGGATGTGCCTTCTGTCAAAGCACTGCCAGACAAGCCACAGAGAAAATGAGATGTTGACTCTGACAGGTCAGGCTGAGACAGACCATTTCAGTCATTCTTCATATAATATTACAGCTTGCCCAGTGCTCTCCCAGGATCTATCCTTGTTGGCAGCCATAGTTCCATGCACTGACAAATTTACGCCACAGTATAATGTGAAACCGTTGATAACAGCTGTCACCAAATTGATCCTCTCAACTATTCTGCTAGATGGGTGCACTGCAGGCAAAAAGGACGACAGCATCAGGGCCAGTCTGAACCCGCTCCACAGCTCTGCACAGAGGGGCTCCCAGGGGATCAGCTCCCCCGGCCCCCAGCAGGCAGCCTCACACCGCTCTGCACGGAGCCCGACGCACGGACTGCTAACGCTCTTCCACAGGGCTTTGTTACACGGCTGGCGTGATGTCACCCATCTGCCTTTATCATTGTACAGGGCTGAATTTAGGAGACATAACTGCTGCTGATCAGGAAGACGTCTCCCGGCTGTCTTTCCCTACCTATATAGAAAGGAATGATGTTTAAGTTGAAGTCAGAATAGTCATTCGGGGATCTTTTGCTCTAAGCTGCATTTACTCAAGCTTTTCAAAGTGCAGACAGCAACATTCAGGAAATGAGCGACTAGGATGCCTCTGGAGTTAACAGAACCAGAAGCAATTTTGTCGTCCCTGCTCTGAGTGCAAACACACATATGAAGGTGTCCGGGGTTTAACAGAACAAAAGGCATACAGAAGCTCTCCACAACCTGTGCATACCCTGCTATAAATGAGTGCCGACCTAGCATACACATTCCTTTGACCTCCTTGTTACAACTGAAATCTAAAGAAAATTACCTAAAAAAGAACATTTACATTTTCGGTGATGCTACAGACTTCCACTTTGCAGGACATATTATGAATTTAAGTCTGCATCTGTTGAAATCAAGCGACTGAAAGCACAACTTCCTAATCTCACTTTTGAAAGGACAGAAGGCAGGACTCTGACCCAGCATAACTTCAGTGGCTGCAATGCAGATGGAAAATAGCCACCTTCGCACTGCCTTAACGTCTTATATTTAAAGCCAAGCTTTTGTTAAATAATCATACTTAGTCCTGAATGCTGAAACTAACATTTTTCAATCATGCCAACTTCTCAGAAATTACTAGAGCCCCTTTTTAAAGGAATACGTCGTTTCCACGCTTATGAATAGGCGCTGCTTTCCTTTCAGATTCACAGCACCGCACTGAGATTTTGTTTAGCTAACAACAAACGGGTCACTGCTACCAACTGCTTTATCAGGAGCGTACAGCACAACCGAGACGTTCCCCACATCAGCGTTCCTTCTCGCTCCCTTATGGAACACGTGAAGGATACGCAGCCCTACAGCAGGAGAGCGTTCTCACAACGCAGGTATCGCTTCAGATCCCCTGCGAGGCCGAATCTCGCAGACGCACGCGGTTAGCTTCAGAGCTTTAACAGCATCAGCTTCTGCAGTAATTCCACTCATCTCTGCAAGTCGAAGAACCGGCTCAGATGTTACGGATGCCGACTGTGCAGCAACAGCGAGGAAGGAAAGTGGAACGAGAAGCGTGCGAGAGAAAGGGCAGGACTTCTCTGAGCTCAGCTGTCCACCCGCAGCTCCGTCGCGTTTTGCCACCGCACTCAACTCGTGGCTGTCAGACGCGCAGGACGCGGCACGGCTTCGAGACGCCGGAGCCCCGCGGCCCAGCCGAGCCCTGCCCTCCCCTCCCCGCACGTCGCGGTGCCCGCCGAGGCGCTCCGCCCTCCGCGCGGCTCTCGGGGTGCGGGACCGATACGGCCGCCTCGGCGGTGGAGAGGAGCGGGGCCGGCGGGACGCGCTTACCTTCAGCAGGTACTTATCCACGATCTCCAGGCCGCAGCTGCTGCACACGCACTTGCTGGGGGCGCAGCCGGAGCCGGAGGCCATGGACCGCGGCGAAGAGGAGGGCGACAGGGCGGCAGAGGAAGAGCAGGAGTCCTCGTCGGCCGCCGCGGGGCTTTCCTGCGGGGAGCGCGCGGAGAGCTCTATGAGCGCGATCCGCCGCCGGCCTCGCGCAGAAGCGGGGAACGCCGCGGGGAGCCCCGCCCAGCCCGACCCTCCCGACCGCGAGCACCTGCGGGGCCGTGCCGAAGCCCCGCGGGCGGGTTGCGGCGGGAGCCGGAGCTCTTCCGCCGAGCGGAGGCCGCGGGACCCGAGCGGGGAAGAGATGGAACCGCCGGCGGCCGCGGAGCGCAGCCCGGGTCCCCGCCCCGCACCGGGCAGAGGCGCGCGTCCGCTCACCTTCTCCGAGGGGCCGCCGAGCGCGGGCAGGTCCTTATCCTCCAGCCTGCACACGAACATCGGGTCGCTCTTCCAATACATGGCCCTGCCCTACCGCATACCAGCTCCGCGAAGGGCGGCGGGGCGCCACGAGGCTGCTCCGGGAACCTCACTCTGAGCCTCTGCCCTCAGCGCCTGCCAGAAAAAAGTTTTGTGTATGAGGGGGTGGGCCGTGCCGCGCGAGGACGGCCTTCCGCGCCTGCCTGCTCTGCCCTCCCGTGCAGAACCCGCCTCCGAGCGCTGCCGCGGCAGCGAACCCGCACCGGAGCTGTTAGACAGCAAAGAGTACCATCAAGGAAAAAAGGAAAAAAAAAAAAAAAAAAAAAGACCCAAAGGACACCACACACTCCTCCTCTTTCTCTCCTTCTTCCCTCCCAGTTTATCTTCGTCGTTTGTCACAGCTTCTCCGCCTCCAGCCCCCCGAGACTAAACAAAAATCCGAGCTGCATCTCCCTCCATATGAGCGAAGGAACGCAGCGGTGCGGGTGCACGGGAGGGGTTTTCCGTGCCCCGCAGCTGAGCACAGCTCTTCGGCTCACGCACTCCGAGCACCGTCTGCGCCGTGTTCATGCGTGCTTACGCCGCCCAGATCCCATTATAAAACCTTTCTCGTTAAGCTAAAGAAGGAACACCTGAGGTGACCAAAGGCCGTAGCGTTACTGTAGTTCTGAGCTCTGCCTGTTGCTAATTAACACCGGTGTGTTCGTCTGCACCGCAGATGGAGGCTGCTCGGGGCCGCCCGCCCGCAGCACTCCGAGAACCCGGCCGTGTCCCCTAACGGAGGTGCTCCCTGTGTTACTTGCACGTTTTTACTGCGACTACAGACGCTCCTCCCAGAGCTTCCCCGACTACTGCCGCGCTCGGGACGGTGCAGAACGAGCAGCCCACCCGCCGCAGGTGAGGGCGATAGCCGCGGATTGCTGCTCCGCGCGTGCCGAGCCTGACAGGTGACGCTAATTAAACCTGCCGTTACAGCCCTGTCCTCTGCACCTCTCTGCGTGCTTACTCTGATGACAGATGGTGGATTTTCTACAAAGCGAACTGAGAGCTGCCGCTACAGCGGTAATGCTCTGAGTTTGAGAAAGGGGACTTCAGTTTTTGGGGCTCTGTAGAAAGGATGAGCCCCATGCTCCTCACTCCCCTTTCGCCTTTCTTTCGGGTTTGGAGGCCCTGCCTCTGCGAGACTGGGACGGAGCCCCCCATACCGCTGCACCCCACTCACTTGCCCGACATTTTAACCGATCAACTCGGAAAGAATCTCACTTAAATCACCCTTTTAGGACCCCAACAGCTGCCGCCCAGTAGCACAGCCGGGACGCTGACGGACGGGGTGCTTCGTTCTAAGTGCAGCGAAATTCGGGACGGGGCTGTGGAAGCCGTCCGGCCGCGGTGTGTAGCGGGAGCGCTGTGTCCAGCTGTGCCCCCCCGCCGTGCTCCCCGCCCCAGGGGAACTCTGCGCCCCGACGGGCGGGGCGGTCCGGAGCGCCTCCGATCCCCGAGCGGCCCCGCGGTGCTCCGGCCCTACGCACTCATCTAGAAGCGGCTTTCTGGCGTCTCCCCGCCCGGGTACTCGCACGCCCACGGCGCCGAGCGGATCGCGGAGGGGAGGGAACGGCTATGGCCCCCGTCGTCGGAACGCGGCCGGGAGTGCCGCTACAGGAGGCGAGAGGCGGCCGCGCGAACCACCGCCGTGCCGCGGGGGGAGCAGCGGAGAACCTCTCTCCGTCCGTCCTGACAGCCCGACCTTCCCTGTCAGATAATCCCGAGGCACGGCACGAGGGCTATCGCCTGTTCCAGACGGCACCGCGGAAAAGCGGCACCTGCCCTGGGGGTCGCCAGAGAGATGCGACGTGGAGGAACCAGAGGCAGAGAGCCGTGGGGGAGGCGGGGGGCCCCTGCAGCGCCCTTCGTTGCGCCGTCGATGCTTTCCCCTCGGTGTTAACGAGTTTACCGCGCAGCGTTGGTGTGCGCTTCACGGACGGCTGCGTTTTAGATTTCTATGAAGCAGCGCCTTCCTGCATGCGCACCTTTAATCTCTGATAAATACAGCGTTAGGAGCCAACAAAATTCTTTCGCGCGTTGTTCCCCGCAGCGGTGGCAAAACGCGCAGCAGTAATTCATAAGATGTGTGCGGGAGGAAGAAAAAAAAAAAACGCACGGGAGATTTATCGGTGTTTCTTGTTCTCGGTGCACGCGCCCGGCGGTCGCGAGAGCACCGCAGCCCTCAGCCCGTCCCGCGCGGCTCCCCGCGGCCCCGCCCGCGCTCTGCTCCGTTCCCGCGGCCGCGTCAGTCCCGCGCGGCGCTCCGGGTCCGTCCGGGGCCGATCCCGCGGCCGGGAGATCGGCGGCCCCGGCAGCCACCGAGGGACGCGAAGACGACGCGCCTCGCGAACTCAAACGGAGGCAGTGGAACTCGGCTACTTCTCCAAAGTCCTGTCTGAACTTTTTCGCTTCGGTTACCCGCTCTCGGAATATTAGTAAGTATCGCTAGCGTAGCTTCGTTTTTGAGGAGGTGAAAGCAGGCGGACGCACAGAACTTAGTGGCAGGGAGCAGCGGGCCGAGGGGAGCGGAGCTGCCGGGGGCGGTCGGGACGGGCCCCTGCTCGGCCTCGTCCCGTCGGGACTCGGAGCAGAGCAGAGCGCTGCGGAGAGCCCGGGTGGGAGCGCGGAGTTCCGTGCGCGGAGGACCCTATGATGGGGGACCTCGTCCGTTCCTCTGAGAAGTAATGCAAGGACGGGTGGAGGAAATGCTAATCATCTGCGCACAGGAGAGATCTTTTAAGTATGTGACGGCAGGGCGCGGGGCTGAGCGCGGACGGCAAGAGTTGTAACAAGAGTGTGTTGGCACTGGGCTTCTCGAGCAAAGACGGCACCGCGGAGCAGTGCGCGCGGCGGGACGTCTCTCTCTGAAGGGCGCTCCAGCGAAACGTATGCGCAGCGAAAACGAACGGGCTGCTGAGAAATTAAACGTGGCACCGCGGTCAGTTTGCGAAAAGCTGCCACCGACACCAAATCGGGGACAATCTGAGCTGCCGCTTCCGATTGCCCTGCCGGGCTCGGCCCACGGAACAACGGCCGACGGCTCTGGACCACCCGCGCCTCCGCCGCAGCCGGGCCGGGGAGGTGCGGCGGGTTTGGATGGAGCGCGGGGCTGCGGGGCCGCGGCGGGACGAGCGGCGCTCCGCTCGCGGTGTTTCACGTCGCTGCCGAGGGGAACGCGCTCCGACCTGAGGGGTGGAAATGAGCTCCCGCTGCGCAGCCCCGTCTCGCACCCTCACCTCCCCGCTCGTTTATGTCCCGCGGGTGTCCCCGCGCCCCCGAAGGCGAGGCGAGGACCGCCAGCAGATGCTGCCGTGACTCCGTGCGGTCCGCTCTTTTTGCAGCCCAGGTCCACGCGGTCCCCTTCTTGACCAGCAAGCTGTCTGGCAAGGAGAGATGGGTTAAAATGCGGAGCTGATAACTGTGAGGACAAAGTTGACTTCAGTGCACGCTGCCTTTCCTGTCTCAGGCATCCTCTTTCGCATGCTTTAACATTTGCCCACCGATGGTATCTGGAGGTTTTTCATCTCTAGGTCTCAGCATCCTGATCTCGAGGGGATGGGGGCGGGGGGGATGGATTGGCGGCGGCTCTGTGGCGGAAGTCAGGCAACGAAGTGAAGCCAACACACTGGGCTTGCTCTTTGTGAGTTCGCACTCCCCCTGGCTCCAGCCCCTGGTGAAAGCTGCAGAGTTTGGACTGCTCCTGAATTTCTGTTTCTGGACTGGGTTAGCAAGAAGTAAACCAGTCGAGTCAGTCTCTTACCCGTAACTTGTTTTACATACCTGTGTAACGCACTTTCCTTGGGCCAAGCTGTCTGTCTCCAGCTCTTGGGTCCAGTATTTTCTGTAGCTTTTGCTCATGACTATTCCAGCGTGGAGCCCTGTGTCTCTTGGTTGGGAATGACCAGATGGGTCTGAGGGAAAAGTTTCTGTGTCTGACTTGAATGTGCGAGACAGCGATTCCCTCACCAAAGTTCAGAACCTCACACAATGTACGTTTTTATTTTTCTTTTCTTTGTAGGTGTAAGGGCAGAGGAGGCAAAGGGCAAGCAGGGGTTAGTGGGGTACAGCCCTGCATTTTTTTTAGGGCAGTGGCCCTTGCACTGCAGGAGGAAGTGCAGAGTCATTTCTGACTTGAGAATAAGGGCAGTAATTTTGCCTTTTTTACTCTTCGTTGCACTTCTTCGTCCCTGCACCGTGAACAGATATGTGAAACTTGCGCATGTTCAAGTGGAGTGCTGTGTCTCTGTGTTCCTGAAGTTTTGGTGAAAACTTTACATAGAAGTTGACTTTTCGAGTTTGTAAACATCTGTGCTAGTTGTACCATACTGTCATGCAGACAGAGAAAGCGTTGTGGACAGACGAAAATAAAGCAGCGATCGAATGTTATGAAAATGCACTTTGCCCTTAGCAGAACCAACACGGAAAGCATCGACGATGTTTATAAATACACAGCTAGAAAACTTACTGCCTGCTTTCCGTTGTAGGAACGTCCTCTTTTCTAAGAGCGTGGTAACTCCACGCTGAAGGGCCCGAAATGTTTCCCTGGGCTATCGGATCTGCCCGTTTAATTCCTTTCACTTTTGTTTACGCGCTGAATAAACACTGCTCTGCGGCAGCAGACCTGAGCCGTCAGATGGAATCGGGGGCCGGCGGGGGGCCGCCGTAGCGTCTCGCGCAGCCGCTTCAGTCGCCGCCGGTGAGGACAGAGCGCTTTTTTTTCCCACCGGGCGCCTTTGCCGGGCCGCGGAGGGGCGGCCGCGTCGTCCCTTCCCCGCTCCGGCCTCTGCGGAACGTCCGAGGGAAGACGGGTTGGGTCCGCTGCCCCGAGCCGCCGCTCCGCTCCGCGCCGCAAGGGCGCGGTGACCGGCCGGAGGGGAGCGCGGGGCTCCGCGGCTGCGCTCCGTCGTTCGCCGTCGGGCTGTCCTGGCCCCCGGGTTGCGGCGCGCTGTGCCGCACGAGTTGGCGGCGGCCGCCGCGGGCGGAGGCCGGAGGAAACAGCGCTGAAACAATTGAGATGGCAAAGAAAAATATTTGGAGACAAGGTTGTTGAAACTTCCTGCTGGCTCCGAGATAGAGCCGTCGGGCGAGAGAGGGTGTGGGGAGGGCGGTGCCGGGCGGTCCCCGGCTCCCCCGGGCGCCGCAGACCGGGGTCGGTGCCTCCAGCCTCCGGGGAGCTCCCGGGGCGGCGGGACCCGGGCTACAGCTTTCCGACAGGCGAACATCCCCCTGTAACAGCTCCCCGAAAGGAAAGGTCCTAGAGTTAGCACAGGGGCAAATACAAGTTACAGACAGGAGAATAGGGTCTGCGGGTCTCCTCGCGTGAGCTCGCTTGCAGAGTAGGCGGCTGCCTTTGTCTTTCACAGGACATTCTCCTTCATCTCAGTCATACCACTGAATGCCAAGCGCAACTCAGGGCAGGAATCGGAAGTACTCGTTGCAGCGAATGAAAACTTCCCTCCCTTACACGCCAACAAATGCTTTTTAGAGAAAAGCTATATTCGCTGCCTTGGGATGACATCCCTTCTCTTTCCAACGTTGAAGGCTGTACTTTGGTAAGCGCATGCACGGTGTGATCCTTAGTCCCGTCTTCTCACACGAACCATACTCTGAGCACAACAGAACTCTTGAAGTGTGCTTGCTTTTGCTTGACATTTAGTCAGGGATTTCTAAGTTGCTAATTATTCACAGATTTCTTTCTTTCTTTCTTTCTTTTTTTTTTTTTTCCCCCAAAGCTCAACTGCAGATGTTCAGGGGTCTTTGCCTCAAGTAGTGCTTAGCTTGGTAAAAACAGGAATCAGATAAGAGTGCTACCTCTGAGGCTAAGAAAGGCTCTCAGACTGTGGTGGGACTTTCTGGTAAGGTGTCACTACAAGGAACTGTTCCTTGCAATGGAATTAAAGGACAGATTCACTTCTTTTCACAGTGTAAGCTTTCATAATTTTCCCCAGCTAGTTTCTTACTTTGTAGACTGATAGAGTGTTCAGTGTATGTGTATTAAAATGAAAATGGCTGTCAAAAAAAGCACATTTGGGCCTCCCTAGCTGGAGATGTTTTGTTTACTGAATTGACAAGCTGGGAAGGAAGCTCATGGAAAAGGTGATTAATTTGTACCAGATCTGAAAACCACAGAGAGTCTCCAGCAACGGGATCCCAGTTTCCTACCCATGGGTTACAATTGCCAGAATATTTGCAAGTATGTAAAAACAAGGAATCGAGGTTCACACAAGATTTATAATTTTGTGACCAGTAAGTACGAAGTGCTACTGTAATTCCCTGAAATAAATTTATTTGGAAAGTGCAGCTGCAGGTGTTCAGTTGGTGTTGTAAGTAGAAATAAGGGACCTCATTGCTCTTTGTGTTTATTGTTTTTCTGCTGATATGACTTCATTAACCCTTGACTGACACATGATAGAGGAAATTGGGGAAATTTTACTTAGTGCCAGAGTTATGTTGCCGTAGAGGAGAATTAAATGTGTAGATAGTGTTTCAGCCCAGACATTTACTTTTGTTGAATTCTGTGCTTGGAATTAGACAGGTACTTCTGTGCAGAGGGTGTGGTATGGGAACTGTCAGCTAGGTTTAACGCAGTCCTTTTGTCCACCTGCTTGTTTGTAAAAGTTTTCTGAGATTGAATATTCATTTACACAAAAGCACACTGCTCAAAGCATCGTGCATCTGTGAGCACACTGCAGCTCTGCCATTGAGGGATCTGGATCCAGCCCTATTCGTGGTGTGACCAGCAGGACCTCTGGCTATTCTGCTATTGAAAGAAGAGTTTTACAGAGCATAAGTTATAAAAAAAAGTTACAGAACAGATTGATAACTTACAGTACATACTTTGCATGCATGTACCTTAATTTCATTGCTCACATATATGTTGTTACAGGACTTGTCCTCACTGCTTTGCACAGAACTGTCTGCTTTGCAGTGCCCAAGGGCCATTGTACTCTCATATTGTACTCTCATATTATACTCTCAATATGCCTTGAACCCCACAATGAAAGTTTAACAAAAGACAGCATTTTACTGATAATCTAATAGCCTTTTCATTACTTCCATTTGGGGTTATGAGGAGAAGAGAGTGGAAGAGGGAATCACTGGAGATCTCAAAGGCAACTGTTTTAATCGCTGCAAATAAACGTTCAAAAATGATCAGCTCTGGCTGGTTACCTAGACTAGACTGTAATGCAAAGCAGCACTTCACCGTCTCATGTTTTGCTGTTCCTTAATACCATCTGCATGTTGATGCT